AGCTTGATAGCCAGCTCTATAAGCTTTAATTTGATATAGGGGTTTAGGTATCCACAGCTTAAACTGCACGCGCTACATCGCTTGGACGCGAGACACCCTTGAAGGTATACTGTAACCTTAAGCCTGACGGGTTGAAGATTTTTGGCGACTAAAATACTTGTGCTGGTGACCAAACCTGAAAACTTAGGGGCCAGCTGGCCCCAAGCTTTTTTCTTGAAATTCGAGTCCCCGTCCACCGAGGAGCTTCAATTTCTTGCGCAGAAATAATATTTACCAAATCAAGTCAACGACAGTTCTGCCGGGCAAATATATTTTTAAAAAATGAAAAGTATAACTGATAGCTACCTCTTTTCGTTCCTTGCGATGCGCCGTTCGCTTGCAGTGCGTGCCTTTACAAGGGCCTTCCGTTGAAAAATTGTCGGAAAGCATTTTTCAATGACCCTCTTCTTGTGTTTCCACCCACAAGCTCAAATCGGTATTCAGTTTTGAAACAGTCATCTGTGAAATGCTCGTTGCACACACACATTTTTGAGTTTTTTTGGCATGAATCTGTCATCCCGAAGTAGCTGTTCGAACCACGTCTTTGGCAATTTTTTGCAGGCAAATTAAGCAAGGTCACTCCTCTTTCCCTATCCTTTTCGGTGCGGGTTTTACAGCCCGGGGCCCAACATTTTAGCTCACAACTGAATAAACGAATTTAGAACAGATTGACGTCACGGATATGCGGCCTGGCCTTCAAGATCCTTTCAAAATGGCGGCTCCTAGTGTCGAACTTTTCACTTCTTTTTCATTGGGATCGCATCTACTTCAGAAGCTAAAACAACGGTGAGTAACTCAAATCAATGTGAACTTTTTATTGGTGATGGAAAAAAATACACAGTTTTTGGAGTGACCTCCTTTAAGTCATCCAATACTCCAAGCAACTAGTCCTTCTCAGTCTGACCTCCAAACCGGCGCATTGAGACAAAAATAAACGTTTGAAAGTGGACTTTCATGAATGTAACGTACACAATTCAACTTCCGCTTCTGCTTCTGCTAGTCATGAACTACTACTATCTTAAGGTACTTGACTAACAAATGCACACGCACTTAAACAACCTATCGATCGGTAGCTATGAGTGGGCCACACGAGACGAATTGACCTGGAGGCTTAAACATCTTTACATCTGTCCATTTTGCTCTGAATTTCGTCAGTGTATAACATTAAAAAGCAATTTAACGTCCACACAGGATCTCTTCGTTGAGTAACATACCGCAAACTTCAAAGCTATGAGAGGATGTGTTCAACCACGATAAAAAGATATGATATTTGTCAATCACATCGAAATGATTTAAGGTTTGAGAAAGATTTGATTCATCTGCTCAAAGGTGCTGGCTACTGATGGAAGCTTCACCAGAACTGGGCTATTTGCATACTATTCAAATGTCCCAGAATGCAATGGCGTCCACTTGCTGTGCCGCTGTTTTGTAGGTTGTTTTAATATGTTTGTTGGTTATAAGAGAACATTTCGGAATACATTTGATAATGAATATTAAAAGAATAAAACCATGACGTTTCGAAGTCTTCTTTTGGTTATAAAGTTGCAAATGTCACTTTGTGGATAATTTGCTTTTTGTTTGATAGCCCCAGACCCGTTTTCCTCTCCTTGGCATTTAACTGACTCTATAGTTCTGGATTTACCTTTATACCCTTTTGCAGACCAGTTTTGCAGCGAAAAACAAAGGTGCGAAAGGAAAACTTGCAGTAACTGATAAGCATCACCAATAAAAAGTTCACGTGGACTTTTAGATCCACTTTTCCCTCAAACGGCGAACCGTCGGGGGTCACGTGATCAGAGCCAGACGTCATGTTTGCGGTTCTCGACTGGCGTTTTAACGTTAAGAGGTAGATTTTAACGTAAGTCATTTATCTCAACTTTATTTGCCTTGAATTTTATTTCATGCCACGTACAAATGCTGAAATCGAATAAACTAACCCTTTCAGTTTCTTCAAATTGGTTACAATTTTTAGGCAAATAAGCAATTACCTCGCCTTTTCAAAAGGCCAACGGTTGTTGTTTGTAGAAAGGCACTGATCCTAATTGGAAATCCAATATATTTATTTCTTCAGAAAGCTTCACCAGCTTGACCAGCAACGCGCATGCGCATCTCCTGTCCCCTCCTACGTATTGACGTAGACTGATGATAAGGTAGAATTAATTAAGACAACTTAATTTTTTGATTTTGGTAGAGCTATATAATACGACACCTATTTCCGCGAGTTTGATTATGAAATGGCGTGGCCGAGTGATTCAGGGAGCTGCATTGTCCTTGCGTTATAAATCTTGGAACATTTCTTAGCTGTCTTCACTAAAACAAAACACACCCTGAGAATAATGCGACGATAACATCCAAACTTCGTTCACTTTATTGACTCTTTCTATTTTATTTTTCTATAAATTAAAATTTATCAACTACGGCACGACCTCAATCATGAACAAAAAAGCAGAAAATTGGCAAAAAAAAAAAAATTGGGATCTCTTGGATCTCTTATTAAAAAAATATTCTCGCAAAACATTGTTGTAAATAGGCTGATAAATAAACCCTGACTGAAATGTTTTCAACTATACAACACCGTGAGAACTGCATGGATTCTGGGTTTTTTGGGAACAAGTGACCGTTAGGAGAGGTTCGACTGAGTTTCGATGTTGTATGTAAATTACACGCGACTTGTTGTAAATCGCAAAAATTACGAAATGACTGATTTTGAGTTCTCTACATAACAAAAAACCGTCTCTTATCGAAAAAAATCAGAGCCTGAAAAACAAAAAAAAAATGCCAATTTCAAAATCAACTTCCCGCAGAAATTTTTTGACGGTAGTATTGAACGCAGTTATTGTTGCCTTCAGTCAATTAAATAAAACGGTATCAGTTGAAATTTTTGGTTTGTTTGTTAACATTTGCCAGCAGTTAGTCTACAGATTCTTTTCGTGACGATTTTGAAAAATAAAACTAGTAGGTACGGAAGCTTAAAGATGAGTACTGATGATATGGCAGCTTCTGCTTAACGAACGTGGAAGCCGCTATCTTGAATTTCCTGAAGATATAAGCGTTCATGTCCTGTTCTTGATTCGGTGCATCAGGGTTCCTCATCAACAAGCGTAATGATCGCTTTACAAACGGCGACAGAGCTGGCACATATGCTGTTTACACTTAATGAAAACGTGTCACAGGACATCAGCTTTGATTGTTGTTTTAGTGCTGGTAAAACGGTCGTTATCTGAGATTTGAGGAGATATAGCAGCAACTAAAACCGATAGTAATCTTAACATTTTACTTGACTACCTTCATTTGTAAAACGGATAGAACAATCATTTGAAGATACTGTTTTCTCAGAAATTTGGCATAAAAAGTACTTTCCTTTTTAAACACTTTCAAGGACAATAGCGTTGGTGATTTCTTTTTACTGGAGGCATTTTAAAATTGTACCATTCAAGAAATTTCTGTTTTTTGCCACAGAAACAGTTTCCTGGCTTACGGCCGTACAGTTTAAAACGAGATCGTGGACGACTTAAGAATGACTGATTAAAGTAAAATTGAACGAAAGCAACCGAAACAAATCTACCCCTGATTCAATCAGCACAAAATAAACAACACTACTTTAAAAAAGTTTATCTACAAATCTCAACAAACTTTTAAACCATTAAAAGAAATCCCATAATTTTTTCTTTGTTTGATTAATACACCGATGATTGTATTAATCAAAATACAGCCTCAGAAATAGTCAATGTTTTCAACATAAACAAAATCATTACATATATTCGCCATAAATTGGCTAGTATCAAACAGGACATTCACTTGCCTTAGAGAAGGATTAATATATAAATTAAACTGATTTCTTCAAAGATGGTGCGAATATTATCAGATAAGCCTGTTTGTTGTCTCACCCACGGGGCTAACAGTGTCTTTTTGAAGTTCAGTTAAACACTTTATCTTTGCTTCAAAAGCGTTGTTTTGCTAATATAATTGTGCCTGGAAAGGACGGTGTAAGTGGAATAAATCATGAGAGATAACCTGGCCTTTCACACGTAGTAGCTGAAAGCACTGTGCCTTATAAACCCGACACGTTTCTATTCAGAAAATAACCATTTATTTCAATATTCAATCATGTCATACACTATGAAAATAAGCGATATTTTTAAAGTTGAACTACGAAGAAAAAAAAAATTGAAACAGGTTAATTTTGAATCGTAAACAAATTACATAACTTTCACCTGGCTGCATAATTGATTGCTTTCCAGAGGTCGTCGCTTAAGACACAAAGACAACCAACTGACAAAAATAATGCAGCACCAAAAGAGACTAATTGTGTATCATTTAATGGAAAACAACACAGCTTACATCCTCCTAAAGAAAGGACTTTTCGAGCGCTTTTCTTTACTTCCTGATATATAATTACCGATATTTTAGCTATTTCCATCTCATCGCTTTTCTCAAATCTGTATGGTTGGATAATCCTTCACTCTAACCTCCCCCATTAATGGCAGGATATGGCAGTAAAGTATATTCTTCTCTATTTCTTTGTGATTACAATGTTCTTGGAAAATAATTTATTTGAAGATTACGCCGCTCAAGTCCCGCTCACAGTCACCAGCATTTCATTGGCCGAGTGAAGGGCTTCATTTCCGAACGTCTTTCTTCAACAAAGGATTTGGAGTACGGCAGTAAATAATGAAGATCATTCCACACCTGCTTTCGGATGTTGTCGGCAAATTTATCTCGTTATATATAAAGCGGTTTCTTCTCTTCCATTCCTATCTGTTGTTAAGTGAATCTATTCCACTACATTTCCTCTTGCATTGGCAAAAAAAGTGTCTTCCAATTAAATGCAAGAGTTCTCTCCTGAGGTGAATCAGATAGCAAGGTAAACAGCTCTTAAGTAAAGCACCAACCAATGATAAAACTGTGCTAGCTTTTGGTATATAATGAATGTAACTCGTTCATTTAAAACGTTTGCTTTGACAGTGGAACGATCAAAGACTGGTGTTCCTCGCTTTGAAAAGACCTGCTAATTGGGTTTGCTCATCAGCCAGGGTAAGATACCTACGCGACTTACAGTTGAGGTGAGTGTATTAATATTATTTAGTAATATTACTTATTGCGGCGATTTTCGCCATTAAAAATCATAGAACTTTAAACAAAAAAATTGATTATGCGAATCGAGCACCATGATAATGTTATATAGTTACTCTCACTCACACCTTGATTTAGTACTAGCATCAAACTGAAACTGCTTCTGAAATATCGCTAATTATATTTCTCCGAATCCAAGTCATTGGCCACAGGTAAACTATGGGTCTCCATTGTTAGTCCGAACAATATTAAATCATTCAAAGTTTGTATGGTACATCGTCAAGACAATCGACTCCATGACGTGTTGCGGTCACGTTGAGATAACTGTTGCTGATGTTTGGCATGGTCCAAGGAAAAATTTCTCTTTTCGAATAGTTTTTCCAATTTATTCTCCATTCACATATGCAGCAATAAAAAAACAATAAAATTTGCTCTACATATCTTGGTCATGTGCTAACGGAGTTGCCTTTAAAATGTGCTTTTCCACAAGTTAGTGGTAAACAATTAAAAACAATGAAGCTTTCAATGTCTGCCGCGTAAACCATGAGAATAAAAAACTATTGATTCTTCAATTAACTGAACACTGAACTTGTCAATTTACAGCAAACAATTTAACTTCTTACTTTAAACAGGGATCTTGATTCAGTTATTAGTAAGAACAGATCGTTTAACGCGCCCAAACATCATCAAATTAACTAGTTCTTCACTTACAAAAAAAAATTGACGAATTTCCCTCTATGGGAAAAATTATTTCTAACGGGCGGAGTAAAAATTAAATAAATTGTGTACTGGCTAGTTTAGCTCACCAGCACTGAGTGTTTCATTCTTCATTTTCTGACGGAAAATTATTTAGGTCGTGTCCATAACGATTGCAAGGACAGTGTATAGCAAGGAAATCGCGAAGTGAACGATAAGTGAATATTTGCAGAAGATGTTTATTTCGGTATTAAATTCAAAATTGATTTTAAAATATGGAATTTATCTCTGTGGGACATCCGACAACCAAGCAGAAACAATTCACCGCCATGTAATTGTGTGAATAATTTAAATCTGACAGATGGTTGACATAATTCAATAAGTTTCACACTGAACCAGATTACTTTTGGCAAATGAAGTTTGCGTGATTTTACAACATCGACAGATTCTGTTTAGGACTGAAAGATTTTCACCAAAAGGGCTGCCTCTGAGGCTTCTGTATTATAAATCATACTGTCTGTAATGCAAAAATATGAAGACTGAACAGCTGGCGAAAATAGCGATAACGTATGGCTGCTATCCAATATTTTCTGCCAAGTAATCTTGTAGATGCTCTCGACTGCCGAGGGACATTTGGTGGTACAATTATTGCCGTCAGTTTGGCTGCCATTCTATTTACTATTAACTGAAGTGACAGTGAAAACGTGTCATTAAAGGACCTATGACGCCATGTACAACATCAGAGAGGTACAGCAAACCGCAAAAAGTAATCTTTACCGTCTGTCTTCTAATAGATTCGGTCTTGAAGATATCTCAGTTTTTCGACAACTCTGAGATACGCGGTATCATATTTTAATTCTCGTCCTTCCAGCCTTCAAGTTTCCTCGGCCTCGCGTGACTCTTAGGACGGGAACCACATCCTTCACAGGAAGTACACACAACCGGGAACGAGATAAATTGTGCTTGCAACAAAATCTGTCAGACTCATAGCCCGCGGATTTACGGTCAGCGGTAACCGAACGCCCGACGTTCTTGACAAACTCAAAAAAATTTATCAACATGCTAGGGAAAGTAACCGCTGGCTAATGCTGGCTCATCTGCCGATTTCTCTCAGAGCTCTCAATCCTAGATGCTAATGCGCTTGAGCAGACCATTATCTATCACGTACAAGGAGTAATGAAAAGAAAGCCTGACACGATTTGAGGCTTGAACGGGATTTGAACCTATAACCCTATCTGCGACATCGGTGCAGTTCTCTATTGAGCCAACTGGGACCGACTGGTCACGTTGTGAATACGTGACAGATGTGCAATTGAATACGAGAAGTATACACAACTGCGCATGAGCAGAATATTATTTTGTAGAGATCCAAAGTTATCACAGTCAGAAATGACTTGTACATGGGCAGGCCATTATTTATACCACGAAAGATCATTGTACACAACTGTGAAAAGGATAGAAACATTTTAAGCTTGAGCGGGACCTCTGTAGTACCTGTGGTTAAAATATAGCCTGAATTTTTCGAGGTTTTATTTTCACATCTGCGGCTAAGTTTACTTGCCTTTATAACTACGCGGACTCGTTATTCAGTGCATCTTTTCCCCGTAGTTCAAATTTATGATGTTTCATTATTCACTTGCTAGACTATTGTCTGTTACCCTGGGTGCCAGAGGGTTTTTTGTTTTGTTTTCGTGGCGAAGCCGCTATTAGTGAGCGGCGAAGCCCCGATGCTGGCGATTGCGGCTTCGCCACGTAAAAAAAAAAACCCTCGTATTTGAAGATCATGGGGCAGGTTCACGGTCGATTAAAAGGAAGAGAAAATACATGGAATGATGAGACGTAGCCCTGAACAACTTACAATGTTGGCTTATCTCTTTGCATTTAAATTTGTGCATTTAACCTCCAGCTTATGTGAGAGAATGGTTGCAATGATCGAAGAGAAAGTATTTGGAACTACGCTTTCCATTTTACCGCCAGCAGTTTTATCCGTCAAAACGCGGGACCCGAAAACAGTTGAAAAAACGAGCACCATGTAGAAATAGCCTGGAAATAGACGTCGAAAATGGCTTACGGCCAATAAATACAGCCCTTGTTTCATGTTCATTATTTATTGAAGTTTGATTTCATCCCACGCCATTTTTGTCTCTAAACTAAAGAAAATGGCTGCCCCACCGTCACCTGGGCAAAGGGCAAGACCTAAAACGTTGGTAAGTCTTAATGAACAATTACGACATACACATACATATATACTTTATTGTTACCTCCCCAATGGGGCTTTTCAGGAACAATTACTTAAATTACTAAGTTACTAATAACTACACAATCAAAATTAATCAAATTTAAAAAACATTACGACCACCCCTCCCATCTGTGTTTTGGTTGTGGCTTGAGTTCTTCATCGACTCGAGGGGGCGGAGGGGGGGGGGGGGGGGGGGTCATATAGTTTGACCAAGATTGTCGGAGGTCCACACTGTCTTTGCGAGTTGCTAGGCTATGCAGATCACATTCGAGAGGATGAGCTGAGCTGTTGTCGCACGTTTATTCAGTCTTTCCCCAGTATTTTATATAGTGTCAGTGATATGACTATTAACAGACTATAGTTTTACCGATCATCGCCTGAGAAATACCATAGACAGGTCTTTAGAACTTTGATTAAAGCCGGGTGCTTCGTTCGTTATTCCTTGTCTCAATGGCATGTAATGAATAGCTTTTCGAGCACTAATGTGATTCGTTATGATTCTCTCTACTGCTTTGGAAAGTTGGGGTTAGAATAAAGCCTTTGTTTAGTCGTTATAACCGAAAATACGCTATTTGTTATCAGCACTACCACCAAGCTCTGAAGTGACAGAGGCCAATTCCTTGTGTCTCCGATAAATGCGTTGACAAATGAGCTCATAATTACAGGCTCCCTTCGTTTTGTCACATTGAAACCTTATAAACACAGCCTTGGTCAATTTAAATGAAACATTAAGCCCCCCCCCCCCCTCCCCTAATTCCAATGATGGCAAAAATGGCCGTTTTGGTTTTAGCGCCAGTTCATCGTTGATTCTGGAGAAGGGGTGGTTTTATTTCTTATTTTACTCTGACTAAGATTATGGTTACTAAGTGAGCGAAATACCTGACCCCCGCTGACGATGTGTTCCTACCTCTGTTCGTTAACGATAAACAAGGTGAAACGGCAAGGTCTTTTCAATCAAATCAAAACAAGAATACTTTGGACCTTCTGGGCAATATAATAACAATGCTTAAAGTTCATCCTTTTTATTGTTTACAAATGTATTTTATCATTGTACACCGATTTCTCTATTGAACTTAAAACAGGACGATCCACTTTTGTTAACACAGTTAGTAGTGAAATGAAACACGAATCATTTCATTGCGATGGCTGTATCAAAAAGATTATGTTCTGAATTCGATAACTTCGAACTTTACATACCAGACTGTCAAATCAAACGAACTAGTTGCTCATTTTAGCCTCTGTTATTTAACAATCATTTGGTTGTAAAATAACAATTTGCTCTGCAAAATTAGGGTCAAATGTTTATCATCTCAGCATTCCATTTAGGATAGAATTGAATTACCCTTGCTTATCTATAGAAACATCCCTTTCCTCGCTGTAATCGAAGAGCAGGAAACACGCCAGGATATTTTCTTTAAACGAGAAACTCGCCATAGTCCAAGGCTGTTGAACTAAGGTAGAGTTATGTTTATTTACTTTTCTAGATTGATCTTGTACGGGGACATGTTTTATGAAACAGCTTATGTACCAGTCATGGACTGGGTTGGGTAATACAAGCCTACTTTCCTAATTGACCATTAATTTTATCGTTTTGCTTGTTTGTCACGATAACGTGTGTTCCCAGGCTGTTCTCAAAAGCGTTTATAAAAAAAATTATATTCGAGACTTACTTACCTGTATTGCTAAATATCTCTTCGTTCAGTAAAACATGTCAACTCTACAGAATGGTAGAATTCAATCGTCTCTGAGACCCGCACTATATAGAAGCTTTGTTGTATAACATGTCTACGTTGATCAGAAATTAGGCTACAACGTCTTTGGAAACGACGCTGTGAATTTTAAATAACTGTAGGTTACATTTGAGAAAAAATACTAAGATTAGTTACCACATGAACTTAGTGGTCTCGAAGTAAACGAGCAAAGGGGATTTCGGTATGGTGGTGAAGATCAGAATACTGTGTTATGATTACCAGCTTAGTGCATTCGCACTGTGCACCGTGTTGTACTGTCTTGAACATAGAAATGTAATTTCAGCAACAGCTGATTTGATCCTTT